ATGGCTACCAATTGCAGGTGTACAATATAGCAAGAGATGTATTGTATCACTATGAAAGAACAAAACCTTTAACAAAAGAAGAAAAAAGAAAAATGTTTTCTTGTAGCTTTGAGGTCAACAGTTGTCTCTATTGCAAAATAGTCTCAGCAACCCCTCAGTGTGTTATTTTATAACCATTGTCCTGAAAACCACTATGAGTCAAAGCCTATTCAAGCGAGGGAAAGTGACAGAACCGCTGGTTACCAGTAGCAATGCGATGACAGTCTCTCCATCAGGGATATGCTACCGGTATTTACATAGTTACATTGCAGACACTTAAAGAGATAAGTCATGTATACAGGCAGGGTTTCTAGCAGCACATGAATTCAAGACAGGGAAATAGATTACTGCAGAAAATGTGATCAGCATTTGTGCTCTGAAAGGAACTTCCAGAGTTTCTATTTACAATGTATGAAAGCATCTGCAGGGCTTGCTGACAGGCTGATCGCTCCAGACTGAAATGACTCTTGAAAAAGCACTGTGAAATCTAGTTCTGGGAATTCTCTTACAGCAGCAGGGACGTGGCTGAAGCACTTCCAAAGAAAAGGGCAGCTGTGCTTATGAACTACTCCCGTTGTGGGAGCTGTATGCTTAGGAGGGTGAACAGAGCACAGACCTTTACCCAAAGCCAGAAAAAAGTTCAGACCTTATCATGGATGGCCTGTGGGCAACAACTCTGTGATTTCTTAGGGAGGAAACCAGCTGGCCCTGCCTCTGCTAGTTCCTGGTACGTGTGGTGTTTGGTTAAGTGTTAGTACTTTGTGGGGTGTGACAGGTACAGAGTGAGTAGTACAGTCAGTAATGGCAAAATATTTTTAAGCCAAGATACTGCTTTACTGTTCGCTAGAAATCAGCAACTACAAAATATTTGATTCTGACATCAGGCCAGGCTCTGCAAAGATTATTTTAGCAAGAACAGCTGTGTAAGTTGAATGTACATACTCAATCTAGATCTGCTGGGGTGTTTTTATATAACATATCCTGAAAACGTGGAGTTTTCATACATTCATACATATATTCATAGATTTGGAGTAGCAGTGGGTCATGAGGTGTGCTTGATTAGAAAGCAAAAAAGAAAAAGCAAAAAGCAGAAAATCCTCCAAAGCAACTTCCTACCTGCCTGCATTGTTCATGAGATCAAGAACGATTTATCCCTCCCTTAAACAGAAGAAGTTAAAGCTAGGAGGTGACTCGCTCTGCAAAAGCACATCTCCCTTGTATGAGTTTTTTACAAAGGGAGGTTTAATTTCTTCGTTTTAATGACAATGAGCACAATACTGATGGAGCACAATACTGATCTTCTCCCAGCCGTTAATGGCTGGCACAACAGGCACGATGAGAGCATGACTACGTTCTTCAGCATTTTTCTGGAGCTATAATCTACATCAGATTTTGAGACCACAAAACCAACGAACAAACCTGTTTCTTTCCCCTCTAAACTCGCTATTCAACTAACACAACTAATGCAAGTGTGAAATTCTGACCTCCTAGTCATGCTGACAAAGCTCCTGCTCTGCTGGAAGTAGGGATGAGAAAACTCACATCGCAAATACAGCCACAGATGGCTTGTTACTTTCAAGTGCTCTGCACACACTGTAACAGTCCATAGGCAAGAACAGACTTGGACTGATGGCTTGTGGAGTTGAGCCAATTGGAAAGAAAAGAGGGAGATCTGACCGTTAGGTCTGGAGGTAGTGCTGACAGACGGGGGGGAGAGCAGTGAACATCTGCGAGTTTTTCAGTGTTATTTTGCCACTGAGTCTCTGAATGACTTCTGGCAACTATCTTTGACTCTCCTTTTGCATTCTGCCTACTGTGACTACTCCTGCATGTGCTGGGCATCTCTGCTATTATATACACACGATTAACATTCAGAAACAATGAAAAGGTGAATTGGGGAAATTTAGGTTCATACATCAGAGGTTAGAAAATAGCTAGAGCTAAGACATTCACAAACACATTATCCGGTTTACACAAATGCATGGCACCATCAAATAGAGAAACCAACTGCATTACTGGGGTTTGTTTTTCAGGGAAAACTACCAGTAGAAGGTGGGAAAGGTCCTTGTTACCTGTTGGTCTGTGAACAGTGTGTGATAGGAAAAAAGACACTTGTCCTTCCCACAGAAACCTCCTCCCTTCCTAACTGACTGACTGGTGATCAGCCTGACAAGAGCTTGGGACCAACACAGCCAGCATCCCATACAAGTTGTATCTTTCCCATATTGTACAGGAAAGGGGGTTCATGGCCTGTCCTTGAAGTGTAACCAAACCTAGAGTGAGCTGGGTGAAATAATTTCTGTTCAGGCATATACAGATTCTGAGAAGGTTATTTTTGTTCAGTATTGAAATGAACTGGCTGAAGTCAGAAATTCAGTGGAATTCAAATGCCAGAGTGTTTTAATTGTAAAGCAAGAAGATCTTTCAATGTTGAACAAATATTTAATACGTAAGTCTCTGTGAAATTAAGAGAAAACAATTCTTTTAAGGCTCATATTTTATCAAAACTGAGAACTATCCACTAGCCACTCCCACTAGCCATTCTGGTGACAATGGCTGTTTTACTGGAA